TGCAGCATAACAAAATTGAAAAAAGTGAAGGGGGTCTGAATACTTTCCAAATGCACTGTATTTGGCAGTAATGCAGTAGACATTTTAAGTCCTATTAAGTAAACCTAAATAGGACTGAATTGGACATTTTAATGCAATTAAGGAACTTAATTGTCCCTTTGCATCTTGCAGGCAAAACAAAAACCAAAAAAACCCCCTCACCACTCACCTTTGCAACTTTGCCCATGTCTTCTAATGTAGCTCGCTCATTAGGAAACTGGGAGAAAGTTCTGTCTATCTTTGCAATAATAGCATCTATGTTGACTTTTTCTTTTGGACATCCTTGAGGAAAATAAAATGTTGGAATGGTTTGGCTCAGAGATGGTGTTAAAGATTCCTCTTTCTTTGACTGAACCTGGAGTAAAAGGAAAGTGACAGTTTAAAGATAGGGTTTTTGCCAATTGCACAATATTATTATTGTTGGTTGCACAATCAGCCAGTTGTTTAGACTGAATTTGGCATTTTTATCCACCTATTGAGTCCTTCCCAAGGACCTGGGACAGGCAGATGTTGTTTGATGGTATTAAAGGTATCGTCGCAGGATGTAGGCTGTTCCAAGTAAAGCTGCCTTTTGCAATTGAAGGATGGTGATTTTGTCAATGCTGATGGTCTTCAAGTGGTGCTCCACATGTTTTGGGATTGCACCTAAGGCATCTATTACTATTGGTACTATCTTTGCTTTCTTTTGCCATAGTTGTTATACTTCTATTTGCAGGTCTTTGTATCTTCTGATTTTCTGCAGTTCTTTTTCTTCTGTTCTGCTGTCTCCAGGTATTGCAATGTTTGCTATCCAGACTTTTTTGTCTTTCTTATCAACAATTCCTAAGTCTGGGGTGCTATGTGGCAGGAATCCTAAAGTTGTTTTAGAATTGTTGCTACTTTGTCATGTTGTTGTTTGTAGTCAGTCTGTGGTGGTGGTGGTAATGATGATGATGAAGATGGCTGGTCGCACAGTCAGCCAGTTGTTTAGACTGGATTTGGCATTTTTATCCAACTATTGAGTCCTTCTCAAGGGCCTGGGTTAGGTAGATGTTGTCTGATAGTTGTTGTTGTTATTAATATTATCATCATCATCATCATCATCATCATTTAATCCCCAAAATATACAAAAGCTAAACCCAATCTGAGATGAAATTTGCTTAGACTCAGTGGAACTTCTGAGTAGAGATGGACTGGATCGGACTGTCCATCAAACATGATTATATTCTTATATTAAGATTTTAATAAAGCTCAAATCTGAGAAAAAACAGAAAATGAGGGTGTTTTTTTTTCCTGATCCAAAAGCTTTACTTGCCCTGCAGTTACTTCACCTATTTTTAGAAACTCATTTCTAACAAACATCTGCACTTTTTAAAAAGGTTATCTATTACTGGAAACAGCATTACCCACCAAGTCACAAGCAAATAATAAACAGCTTAGCTGGAAGTGACTACACTCTAATTTCCAGTTTGGTATATCCCTACCTTCACTAAGAGTGCACGGTTTTCCCTCAAAGTCAGAGGGGGAGAACAGGGGGTGGGAAAAGACACCGCATCCTTGGAGATGAGGGTGGCTGCTTTAAAATTAGTCTCGGTTTCAAGAGGAGAAAAAAAACCCCTTCTCACAACAGCTGTGACATTCCACTACTCAGAATTTGAAAGCAGCACTCACATTACAATCAGTTAACGAAAGTTGTGAAGGGAGCCTGTCCTACAGTCATGCTGTCTTCTGGAAATATTACTGCACACAGCTAATGATAAAAGATGCAATATCTCCAAACTGTAATCTCTGGCCGGTTCCTTGACACAGCTAAAATGAAAGGATTACCAGGGAGCAAATCAAAATGCAGTATGCGTAATTTCCAGGGGTTGACACTCACCAGTATTATCCATCGACTACTACAATAAGAATTTTAGATTAGGGCATGAAAAAAAATGTTAAAAAGAAAACGTGCACAATGCTCCTACAGGTGGAAACTTGTCTGTGATGAGTTAAAGGATGGCTTTCGCCCATTTGGTCTGGAAGCCTCGGCAAGCTTGGCTGAAGGCCCCTTCCTCATAAGGAGCCAAAGGGGCATGGCCAGAAGCCAGGCCGTTGGTGTAGTAGTCACTGCAGGGGGAGATGTTCCCTTCTGACTTTTCGGAATGCACTTAAAACCTTTCTAGTTCAGTGGGTTTTGGGCCCAAAATGAGGAACTGTGGGCAACTGCCTAATCTGACGGCTTTGTGGTTTAATGTAGTTTGGTGGTTTAGTTAAAGCTAACCTCATTTTATTCATTGCCCAGAGCCTGTGGACTGGAGCAGTATTTGAGCATTGTAAAATACACACACCCACACCCACAGAGTAATTGCCACAGTAACTAAAAGCAGATTACAGAAAGGATTAAAAACAATGTACTATTTCATGTGGAATTTACTCAGTAGATAAAATTTCCAAGACTTTCAGAATACAGTAGTTATTATATTCAGCAATCCCATTTATGGTTTTTTATTCTTCAAGAAAATGTGCAAAACCCTCAGTGTTTCAAGACAAGATTTTCAGATTATAATTTATCATGGGTTTCAAATGCAGGTTTTGCACTGTCAATTGTATAAAACGATTAGAAAGTTTCTATATTCATGTGCGTCCATGACTTTGAAAAACTTATTATTTATTTTGAGACTAAGTTACAATTCTATAAATATTTCTGTGGAAATAAGATACTTCTAAGAAAACGTACATAATTTTACATATTTGTCTTGCAATGTATTTTATAACCATATCACTTTTTGCAGTAGCAGCATAAAAGATCTGGGATACATTTGTATAGTTAATTATTTTTTCTTGCTATGGAAATGATTACTTGTAAAAAAAAATGCTGAAGATCACTGATTGCAAGTTTATTGGTTAAAATATTGCTGAGTTCAACATACTGATTTATGGCAGTATTATACATAGTAATACGATTTTAAACAAATGAACATAACCAACTTTTTGTGGATAGACTGCCAAACTATTGAGCACCATCATCTTCTGAAACTGTTAGTATCATGGTGGTACGCCATCAGCACACAAGAATACATTTTTCTGGAATAGTTAAGTTCTATCTGCTGCGTCTGGGTATTATTTTCCAGTATTTCAATTATTTTCAGCATGGATACAACAGAAATAGAAACAAAAATGGAACACATACATATAGGAGGTATGGCCTTGATGTGAGAATGATCACATGATGAAAAGTTCAGCATTCCTTTTAATGTGTAATTCATAATGTTTTTGTTTTAAGCCATGTGCTGCTTAATGCAGCTTCTGATCCCTTGTTCTCTATGCAAGCTGATAAACAGTGAGAGAAACTGGATAATCAACAGGTATTCAGGACGAGCTTATGAACTGTTTATGGCATACAATACTGTTCTCATCATGAACAACTGACTTGTTTGTATTTTGGTAGAAAGCACTAACTTTATGAAACTTATTTAATATTAATAAGCCTACCTGCTAATAAAACACTTTTTTTTTTCAAATGCACCATTAGGTTCTACAAAATAGAATTAGATGATCATGATCTTCACTAGAATTAAAGCCAGCCATTCAGCCCAAACTATCAAATAAAATTTCTTAGACTGTTCTCAAGTATTAGCCGTTGCTTTAATGCTTTCATGACTAATGAGGTAAGTGGAGGTCTGACTTTCATATTTTTCCAAACCTCTTCTTCTGACAAGATATTGAGCAAAGTGGGGAAAGAATGTTGAAGGCACAAAGTCTGCAGTTTGACATTGACTCATGATGACATGCTAGAAGATACCAGGCAAACTTGACTGGATCACATCCAGCTATTTGCACAACTGATAGATTTCTTTTACTCTTTGGGCAAATATCTAATATATAATTTAGTCATAATTTGAATCTGTCTTTAGCACTACGTAGAACACACAGAATTTTTGAGAGCTCAGGGTAAAGACATGATGGATTAATGATAACATTGAAAATGTTAATTTTATGTGGTATGGCATTGTAATTGGAGGGCATGTATGACACAGAAAAGCCAAATTCCATTTTCAGGTGATGAAATGCTCATCCTATAGCATTCAGCTTTTTTTTTTTTCATAGATAGCTTTAGCATTCTTCAAAACGATAGCCAGCTTTTTGTTTGGTGGAATTAAAGGGGCATTTTCATGCAACCATTCCTGTGCTTTATTTTTTGCTCCATACTCAATAGTATTCTAATAATGACTATAAATACATTACACATAGGCATAGTGGTGTGGAACATAAGAGTCCAAGAATTCATTATTGATCTAATAATAACTTTCTTTTTTTTAAAAAAAAAGTTTCTAGCTGATATGTCAGCAAAGACAGGCAGCAGGGAATATGGGCAATATTCTGAAGCCAGCCTGGTGGGGTGTACGTTACTAGTATACCTACTAATCAAATATCAAAGCTCTTCATAGCTCGTTGCCCTATACTGGGACTAAGAAGAGCATATTTTACAAAAGTTGTAGAAGGGTTTCAATTATCTTGCCTCAGTGCCTTCTGCAAAGAAATGAAAAGTAAAGTTTACAGAAAAGCTCTATTACAAACACTTTGTGACAACTTGAAGTGAAATTAAAATGTCAACAACACAACATACAATTTAAGCCTACAGGCCTTAATTATTTTCCCTGGAAACCAATTTAAAGACAACTGAGAACATATTAGGTCTTGGAGTTAGAAGAAATGTTAATTATATTAACATACATATCCACAACAGTACTTTTTCCTTTCACATTAGACTTCTGATAGCTAAAACACACCAACAGCTGTTTGGCTCACCCTGTTATGGATAGATACGCTGCATTTTCGATAAACACTTCTTTAAATTTCAGAAAAAATGGCATTGCTAACAATTCATTGCTCATGGTTCACTGAAATTATGAGCAAAGTGAGATAGAAACTTTTAATATTTAATATTTATCAAATTTGAATGTACAGGTAGTCCTTGCTTAATGACCACAATAGGGACCTGAAAATTGGTCATTAAGCAGGGCAGTCATTAAGTGAGTCACCATGTGACTGGACCAATTTTACGACCATTTTACAATGGTCATTAAGCGAATCATTGTGATTAAGTGAATCATGTGGTGGTTAAGTGAATCAAGCTTCCCCTTGGACGTTTTTTGCCAGAATTCACTTAACAACCGTGATAATTCACTTAATCACCATCGTAAAAATGGTTGCAAATGGCGATCATATACCCAGGGGGGTGCAATGGTTTGTGATAGTCATAAGTGTGAGTACAGGTCGTAAAGCACTTTTTCCAAGGCCATCATAACTTTGAACTGTCATTAAATGAACAGTTGTTAAGTGAGAACTATGTGTAATGCTTTTAAGCATTAGAACAAATAGAATGACCAAATG